CCGTAGCTTATACCTCGCTGTATACTACTCCCCTATATTAGTCCCTGGTTAGACCAGTCTCAATGTGTTTTTGTATGAGTGACTGTTAACTTTTTTTTATCAAAATGCAGCCCACTATAGCAAATAGTGTGATTTTTAAAGCATTCTACCGACAGCTATTGACGAACTATTAAGTTAATTTTGAAACTTAGTGAGAGGAATCCTCGTTTCTTAAGTAGTCAATCGAACAAACCTATCTCTTTCCATTTTTTTAGTTGTTTTTTTTTTAATCGTCTTTTAACTTTGGGGCACCCTATAAGAAATGCTTGTAAAAAAGTGTGAACCTTTTTAGTATCACAATTTTCTTGTGTCATTATGCCCCACTTACTGCTCCAATTTTTGTTTCACAACTTCAACTTGCTCAGTGATGTAAATCCATGCGGAGATTTAAATTTAAAAACTTCGAATTAAGAGATAAGCTTGAAGCAGAATAACCTTTCGTAATATTGAAGGAATTACAATAAACTGTATTTCAGGAGGTCTTTAAAGGGATGAAAGAGAAAGGTGAAGGTGGATCGATTGTGAATATATCTAGTATATCCAGCTTAAGGGGTTTTCCTAATTACGGGGTTTATGGAGCCACTAAAGCTGCCACTGATTCCTTAACGAGAAACATGGCTGTGGAATTTGGACCTTACGGAGTGAGTAATATTTATCACCACGCATTCAAAATATATATACATAATATTTTAAACAATTCGATATTTTATAGAGATATTTCATATTTTATGTGCTTTATATGTTCATAAATTAAATATTTTATTTGTGACAAATTTTTTGTAGAATTTATTCAACTTGCCTAATTCGAGCATGGGAATTTTAAATCTAAAAATAGTTTTGCTCCAATTCCTTTTTATTTTTAAAGACTAACGTTTTTTATCTATTTTTGTTTAAATGTTATAATGTTAATGTTACAATGCTAATGTTATAATGTTAATGTTATAATATTAATGTTATAATGTTAATGTTATAATGTTAATGTTATAATATTAATATTATAATGTTAATGTTACAATGTTAATGTTATAATGTTAATGTTATAATGTCAATGTTATAATGTTAATATCATAATGTTAATGTTACAATGCTAATGTTATAATGTTAATATTAAGGGCTGTTACTTAAAAGCTTAGGGGAAAATGTCTAAGAAGTAATACAGAAGATTAAAGAATTAATTTAGAATGATCAATTATAAAATACTAGAATTACAATATCCTATAAACGGATAAGTAACATCTTATTAAGAAAAATGGCCAAAAAGTATAATGGTAAATAGATTGCGTTGTCGAAATAAGCCTAGACTAAATTAACCTGAAAGAAAAATAAATAGACGCTGAAAAGGAATGGATTGCTTTGAGTTAAAAAGTACATGAGACAGATAAAACAAATACTGAAATGTTAAAACTCACCATGTTTATTCTCACTAAATTATTAAAAAAAATGTAAATTATAATATTATCAACAAAAATATCGCCACACAGGCCATCACTTGTAGATTCAATTTTACACAAATAAAGATGAAAAAGGATTATCTTCTCACAAAAGAAATTGTCGGCATCTTAAAACTTTTACAACAGGACTGCACGCCTCCCTGATGCACCGAACGTACATCAGGGGGCCCAAAATCAACTTCGAATGAATGTTCTAAAACAGGGGGAAAGAAAAGAATCCCTCACTCCCACGCTGCCATTACTTTTTGTTGAATTCTGTGGCACTTCGGGAACTCAGCTGACAGGTGTCGCTGCGGGGGAAAATTCAGCCTAACCTCGTGACGTCAGTTCTCCAAAGCTGCTCCTCGAGATAATCTGCTCCTTTAGGATCAGTCTATGCAATTTCTTTCTTGTTGCAAAGCAATACTTCTAGTCTTACATTTTTGCCACTTATGTCTTTCACTCAAAGACATTTTTTAAGATTGTTAAACAATGTTTAACAGTTAATGTTATAATGTTAATGTTACAATGTTAATGCTATAATGTTAATGTTATAATGTTAATGTTCTAATGTTAATGTTACAATGTTAATGTTATAATGTTAATATTATAATGTTAATGTTACAATGTTAATGTTATAATGTTAATGTAATGATGTCAATGTTATAATGTTAATGTTGTAATGTTAATATTATGATGTTAATGTTACAATGTTAATGTTATAATGTTATATTATAATGTCAATATTATAATGTTAATGTTATAATGCTAATGTTATAATGTTAATGTTATAATGTTAATGTTACAATGCTAATGTTATAATGTTAATGTTATAATGTTATTGGCACGATTATAGTCCATTTTTGTTAGTTTATTTTAGTTTAAAAGCGTCATACACAGCAGGGAGTCACATAAATGTTGCGCTTCCAGTAGCGGATGACATTTCCGGGCTTCGGTTCTTATGTAGTTTTAAACCTAATTTTGTGTCATAACTCCCCAAGAAGTTGTTGCGTGTCTCCCTGTTATATACAACGTTTTACACTTGTACATTTATACAAAAGAAGTATAAAAATGTAATTTAAAGAGAAACTATAGCTTGGAAAAAGAATCTGATTACGAATATGAAATATCCGATACGAAAGTATTCACGATTTGTTAAAAAATCTCATGTAACAGAAAACATTTAAAAAAAATTGTTCCCCAATTTTATTGACGAATTAGAACTATAAAACATATTTGTAATAGAAAGCGTTTCGTAATTTTCAATATTAGTCTTCATTTCTTCATAAAATAAGGTATTTTGAGACTTCTTAAAGCTACATGTTGATATACGGAATAAGCTTGTAAGTAGTTCGAAATTTCAAAACTTAACATAGATCTTATTGAATATACTCCTACATTTATATTTAATGAAATTTCTAACAGAATTTCGTTCTTAATAAAAGTTCTCCTTATTGTATGCATTCTTATTCAATGCAAATATACATAAAGAAATTTTTATTGAGTGTGATATGTAATATAATTTCATTGAATGCATTTCTCTTCTTATTGAAATGAAACCTGAATTTTTAAATAATTAATAATTTTTTAATAAATTGATTTTTAATAAAATTAATTTATTAATGCGAACAAAATTAATCTAGTCAAATTAATTACTGAGAGACTTGTACTTAAAACGTATATATAAGTTTTATCATGAATTAACTCATATTTTGTTCTTAAATTAATTTGCTAGAATCCAACAAATATTTTCTTTAGTATAAATAATTTCTTTATTATTAAACACCGTCTTTATATATACACAAAGTTGTGATGTACACACCTTCATAAAAATATTAAATTAAACAATGTAAAAAAATAAATTGAATAAACTATCCACATTGCGATTTCATGTACAGTTTTCGATGTCTTTAAAAATTGTACTGTTAATTTTTCAGGTTAGAGTGAATTCCGTCAACCCAACCTTTGTGCGTACAAAAATGGCGGAGGAACTTTTAAATTCAGGAGATGCACTTATCACTGCAATGAAAGAAAGAACTCCTCTTCGAAGATTTGATGGTAAGAATAATTAATATATAATACGAAAAAAAGAAATTTTCTGATAATGAGCTGAGGAAAAAACGCATGAGGAAAACTACCACAATATGGTAAAATATATCGAGTTTCTAGTTCACCGGGAACACCAAAAAGCTCGGTAATTTTTACTGTCGCACTTTGAGTTTTTGTCGCACTTTACTTTCGCAAGATTAACAATAAAATCTGGTTTAATAATATGCGATAAAATTTGGTAATTTTATCACGATCTCTGAAAGCATGGCACGAAAAAACTTATTCGGTTAAATGTATTTTTCAGTTTTTTTTTCTTATTTTTTGCTAAATGTATGGTAATAAGAACTGTAATTTTGAAGACAAAACTTTCTGGTAAACCGCTACTATATCAACAAAGAATATAAAAAAACTGAATGGTTTAAATACCGTAAATTTTGGCTGATGAACATTTTTACCAGAAATATCAGTACTATACATGCAGTAATTTGACCAGAATTTTTCTCCGTGCATAATGGGTCATAATATATTATAACGCATTATAACATTTCGCAATATTATAAAATTTTACATACTACTGTAACTTATATAATTATAAGCGACTGATTCGATTTTAATCGATATATTAATTCAAAAAAAGTACGCTCTTGTGCTTGATTTCGTAACTTAAAATATAGACTGCACTAGTTAATTATCATATTTGAGGTCAGGCTCTCAAACCTTCAGTTTTAGTATCGTATTTTATTTTATAACCGCTGTTGAACAGCCGACCCAATTTTTGGGTTTATGACTACTAAAGTTCAACTACGTAGCCTTGTAATTTTGAACCCAATCCAGAAGACAAGGGAACTCCTGGATCAAGTATTGTGAAGAATTTGCCTTCGTGGGGGACTTTTGGAAGGAACTAAACCACGTTTGCGTTACATGAAGAGGAAGATCACGAGAACCTACCGCGGTTAGCTTGACGGCAAGGGGACTCTAATCAATGATCCATCTACCACTGAGGATATTTCACGTCATCAGTGTGGTTGGTGCAAATCGGGTGCGTAATTCGTATCGACCAGCCATCGCCGGGATTCGAACCTGGTTCACCTCATTGGAAGGCGAACGCTCTATTACCTGAGCCATCGCGTTGCTTCATTTCAGTATGTGCAAATTCGGTCATTAGATTGAACGTTATTCATTCTGATTTTTTAATATATTTATTTGTTTGTCTTTTATTTTGCGGAAAGGAGAAAACGATAATTTGAAACACAAAATGTATTTTTTAGTGAATAAGCATGTCTTACTGTTGATGAACTTCGATTCTTTAACACCATAATAGTTTATCGTAGCTGTAGCGTTTATCGTAGCGTAATTGGAGAAATATTTTTTTACAAATATTTTAGTAAGAAAAAAGAACGAAAATTGCAGGCTCTTGAATCTAAGGCTCTGCATAATAAAAAATTCAGGATAAAATTACGGTAGAAAGTACAGGCACCTCGAATACTGCATGTTTAGAATCCATTTTTACTATAAATATTAACAATATTATTTATTTAATTATAGTTATTCATGGTTTTTACAGGGAATAATACTAACCCAATTATATATCACATTTTTTTTCTCTTAAACTTCACGGTAAAAATGGATTATACAGTAAAAAGTAATGGCGCTTTCAGTGACGTTACTTTTTTCTGTAATTTTATTTGCAATTACTTACAATGGGATTAATATTAAAAAAAAATTTTGAATATTTTTTAGGAACTGTAGAGCTTGAAAAGTTATTTTCTTAATTATGAGGTTTAATCATTTTTACTTAAGATGAATTTATGTTCAAAATTTGAAGAAAATGCGTTGAACAGTTTCTTAAAATTAGGAAATCAGTCATAATATTTTTATTTTACTTTAATTTTGTAATTTTTTTAATTTTTTAAACTTATGAATCAATTTTCTCATATTTTCAAAAGTATAGATAATATAAAGATGAATGGCAAGAAAATAGATAAATCACAAGATAATTTGACGTTAAACTTATGAAATCTTACGGTTAAAAGTTTTCGATTTTCATTAAGTTAAGCTATAAAAAATAATAAATAGTTGTAGATGAGCGAGTTTTATGAAACAGCCCTATAATTTTTTAAACAGTGTAATCGAAGCCTGAAATATGTTGAGAAACAAAATAAAACTACAAATAGCATTAAGGGTTCTGCACTCGACTACACTACACTTATACTACTTCTACACTGACGGACTGTACTTAGAAACACATTTCTTCCAGATTTTATGAGTCAAAAATCTGATGTCAACCTTAAATGATTCAGAGCAATCCCTGATAAAAAAATATCAGTGATTACTATAGCGAGCACAAATGAATTATATTTAAAACTTGTATTTCGAGACATTTAGATTATAGTTATTACGTAAGCATTCAAAGGTCCAATCAAAAATATTTAAATAAATGAGTTTTTGATTTCGCCGTGTACACATATCAAAACTACAATACAAATTTTTGCGTTGTGAACTTCATTAAATATACTGTTAGTTTGTTAAATATACTTCCCTCAAAAACGTGGATAAATTTAGTTGCAAAATATTGCTTCATTAAAATAATAAAATGTTTAAAGTAATGTATATTAAATAGATATAAAAGAAACTTAATAAACTTGAAAATTTAATAATATATTTGCTGTATAATGTTAATAAACTATCCCAATTAAAAAATTAGCCATGTAAACTAAAGAGTACATTTTAGATATACTTCATTCAAAAGATCTGCTGATGCTTTAATATCAAATGTTTAAAGTAATGTGTATCAAGTAATTTAAAAATGCATTATCAAATTTTCAAATTTAATAATACATATATTATTTATAAATTAATATATTATTAATAATTATTAATAAAACCAATCCAGACCAAAAAACAATCATCTAAACCAAAAAACAGTTTTAAATTATATTTCACTCCATTCTACTGATTATTTTTGATTGATTATTTTTTATTGTATATATATATATACAATGATGAAACGCTTAAAGTATTGGGCAGGAAGTAGTTATAAAAACAAAAATCTGAATTTGTAAACATGCAAATTATTCTTCTAACTTTTATATGTTTCACTTGCACTCATATATTTTGATGAGTCAATTAACATTTTATTCTTTTACAGAAGTTGAAGATGTTAGTTATCCAGTACTATTCTTGCTAAGTGACAAAGCAGCGATGATATCTGGTTTGTCGATACCAATTGATGGTGGCTTTTCTGTCACATTTTAAAGCGGCACATCTCACCTCAAAATAAATAAAACGCACAGATTCGCATCTTAGTTGTAATACATTATCTATAAGTAAATATGTCACGTTATATGTTATTTAAATTGCTATTTCGTTTGCCATGTTCTAAATTCAAAGTTATAAAAACAGATTGATCATATAGGAAATGCTTATCTGTTACGTGTGTAACTGCTACAATTAGTTGATTAACTAACTTAATGAGATCATTTGCTTATATTAAGCGTATGAAAATTTTATTTCGAGCAATAAATATGAAACAGTATTAAAAATTGTTTTTCTTTTCTTTTAATTTTAAATAAATTTTTCGAATAGAATTACAAAAAATTATACAATTCGACTATGACTGATTGAATGACTAATAAAGTAAGTCAAGAAACAGGATTGTTATTTTTCTTACTGTACAATGACATGGAAATACTGAAAAATGTGTAAATAAACTTTTTTGAAAGACAGTTGGTTATTTCTGTACAGTAACGCGAGAGCAACGTTAAAATTTTCGTATCAAATTGCAATATAAAGTACCTGCACTTTGGAAGCATTATTTGTAAAATACATTTCACCGTAAAATCCATTTCTACCGTAAAATATTATTATTGCAATGATATTTATTTATCAAATTAGAGTAGTTCAGTGATTTAACGGTAAGTATTACTATAAAATTTATGGAATATCGTAGTTTTTCTTCCGTAACATGTTCCAGAGAAAATGGATTTCGCGATATGAAGTACCGGCACTCTGGGTGCCAGTTCTTTTTGCAGTAATTCGATACAAAAACTTTTTTCATTGTAGTACCTTGAAAAGTGCAAAAACATGGATAATCTGTGCCTGGGAAGTGATTATAACACTAGATGTTGCTTAAAATGTTTAATCATAGATATTTTATAATTATTTTGAAATAAAGCAAAAAAAGCTAATTATTGGAAAGAGCAATTAAACAGAGAACATCTACTTATGTATTTTGTCCATCGTAAAACCTTGAAAAGTGCGTGAAACGTGGACAACCTGTGTCGGGGTTGTAATTATAACTCTAGAGGTTGCTTAAATTATTTAATCATATGTATTTTATAATTATTTTGAAATAAAGAAGAAAAAAGATAATTATTGGAACGACCAATTAAACAGAGAACATCTACTTATGTATCTTGTATTCCGCAATTACAACAAGCTAGTTCACCCTAGCTTGTAATTGTTCATAAATTGTTATTATTAAGTTATGAAAATTTCTTTTTTTATAAAATTAAATATAACTGTGCAATAATAGTACAATGTTAGATTAAAAAAAAGAACACATAACACATATTCTCAGATGCATTCCAAAAAACATAGTTTAATTTATATTTTATTTAATATTATTTTTTCAAAACAATTTTTCATGCAAACAAAGTTTTTCTAAGAATGATAAATCTTATAATGGGTATCATCCTTTTATAAGGGTTTTCAAGTTCTGGTATAAACGCTTTTGAAATAACAATATCGATAAAAGCTATGAATCAGTTTAATTATGACTTTAAAAGTTAATAAGTTTTAACAATTTTCATAAGCATCATGAAATTATATCATCATATAATAACATAATCACTAGCATGATGTCAGGTATCAAATTTGTTGCAAAGGTTATAAAAAGCGTCTATTAAAATTCTAAATTAAATGAACCTGCTTATTAAAATGATATTATTAAAATGAACCTGTTTATTAAATTTATTAAAATAAACCTGCAGATTTAATTTATTTATCCTAAAGTGAACCTAATGAACTTATGGAATCAAAATAAATCCTTTAATGTAACGATATATATTTTGCAAATAACCTAATGCCCTGATAATGAATTTAATAATAAATATTTGTAGTTTTTATTAATTCTTTATAATCCAATAATAATTATATTATAATATCATAATATTATAATAATTATAATATTATAAAATCAAATTAATATTTAATCTTAATTTTACCTTAATTTAATCTTAATTAATGTTTCTAAAGTGGAATAATAATTAATCAACATCCAACTATTTCCATCATGTGGTAATGGATTTCGATGAGCTAACAAACTTCCATCATTCGATGTTGGATGGTGATATTTTACTATATGTTGGCGGGCCAACATGCTATGTTTAAAATTCTTGGGAAAACAACTTCCACCAATTCAGGATGGAAAATGTTGTTTTAGTACTAATCAAGGAACTACAACGATCAAAGAATGATTGCTATTGGTGAACCATCAATACCCATTATTTGACAATGAAATGTATTGATTTACTAATAAGTAGAATAGAAACCTATAAAGTATTGTTTATTATTAATAATGAAGCATCATCCTTCATTTAATGTTAGAATAATTTATAATAAACCATTTCACATTGAATAATGATGTATTTATTTGATGCTGACAATATTTTGTGTTATTTTACATTTTTTAGCATAATGAGTGCTATTTTACAGCTGGGATAATAAACAGTCAGGTATTGTTAAGCAAATCTTAATGCTGCATACTCCCCAACCTTATATACAAACATGCATGTTTCACTTTCAATATTATATGCATCGTCAATTAGTAATATAGTCAATTTAATAATTTATCAGCATTACAATAAGAAACAACTTCAAACATATAATACTGACATTAACTTCTTTAATGTATAATATGCACATTATAAAGAAACCAAATACACAGATATAAACACAAAATAAATTTTTATTCTCCAGCACAAGAAAGAGTTCACAAGGGAAATCTAGTATTTCAATACTTCAAGAAAAGTTAATTTTAATTCTGAAAAATTTCATAAAATAAGATTCATTTATACCTTTTCATTCTTAAAGCAATCAGCAGCATCTTGTCGATTTTCCAAGGAATTAAAATTTATCTCGTGTTCAGGATCCGAATCAGTTCGCTTAATATCAGAATAACTTTTGACTTCACGTTGTGACAAATGAGTCCTCTTGCGCCGACTCAGCACTCGCTTTGGAACTGATTCTTCAGAAGTTTTATCTAAATACCGTTTATATCTATCAAGTCTTTTTTCCCATTATCTAAATGCGCTGGTTAATCAAATTTAACGGAATAAAACAACGAAAAAAAATTAAAAAGCAAAATAACGAAAAAACAAAATAATTAACTTAACAAAACGAAATAATGAAAAAACAGAATATTTAACTTAACAAAACGAAATAATGAAAAAACAGAATATTTAACTTAATAGAATAAAATTAAAACGTAAGAAAAGTAAATAACAAAGGTGTAGTTCTGAAAAGAACTTTTTCTCCCCTAAACTTTAAATAGCAAAAGAAAATTCGAGGTACCACGCCTAAAAAAATGCTTAGATCCTGGGAGAAAACACATTCGAGGCCAATTTAAAAAGTCACCAAGTTTTAATGAACAAGCATGGTCTTTAATCACAATATCGAAAGATCATTTTCGCTCCACAAATTCGCTACTGCTGTTCCCATTCGCTTTTTTTAAATTTTAAGTTCTGCAATACTGTTGTCAAAAAATACAAACTGACCTCAAATAAAACTCAAAGGACTTCGAATCAAATAATTAAGAAAACTCTACTATTACGTTTAATAAAAAGAAGATTTATTATCTCAACAACAAAAATTATAACATCGTCATTCCAAAGAAAAATCTTACACTCACTCAGAAACTATTTACATTCCAAACTATTACCATGGCAACCACAAAACTCTTCTCGTTACCATCTATAAACTGATATATAATAAGTAAATTATTTAACAAAAAATACGATGCGCATAATCACATAATATTTCGCAACTATCTCGAGAGAAATGTAGAATTCATGCACGTGAGAAATTTTGTTTCTTAATTGGGTATAATATAGCCTACGTCACAGGTTGTGTTGTTCCTACTAAATTTAACCCATGAACGGCATTTTCTGCGAGCCTAACTTCAAGCCACAAATAAGCAAACGAAGTGTTCGATCGTTTAAATAGCTGCTCGCCAGATTTTATTGCATTATAAAGAAAAGTTATTGAAACTAAATAAACAACAACAACTAAAACAAATAACAACAACTACTAATAACAATAACTAAATAAACAACAACTAAATTCCATTCGTTTAGCATTGCGTCATATGTTGTTCCTACTAAATCGAAGTAGTTGTGTTTTTTTCATATTATACCCAATTAATTCACTCTTGTATACATTAATTATTTTGCTGAGTCTTTGCGCATAATTTTTTGAAATGTCCACCTTCGTGAATTATCATGATCAGCCAGGGAAAACATAATACGTCCCCATTAACTTTATAAAAGACTTGTTCCCCAAATCGACAAAAGATTTCGAGAAGGCCAAAACTTATATTCTTTTGGTGTCCGGATCTCCTTGTTAATCAACAGGAAGTTGAAAATCTCAAGAAAATGGTAGTGACACATAAAGACTCATGGGGCAGACTTAAAGGAACATCCGACTACAGTGCTGATGTATTGCGCATAGGAGGTGAGTTTGTCTTTTCTTCTTATTATTAAATTGCCAATGATTTGAATCGAAATCAAATGATGAGAATACGAGACATTTTCTCTAATGTAAATTTATTTTCTATGCCCATTTTTATTTTTTTATAACTAAATTAGCAATATGCTAATTTATCTAAGCTCTTCTTTAACGTAAGTTTCTATTTTCCACCTGTAATTCGATTAATGCTTCTATCTACATTTACTCTAATTGAAATGAAATGATTTCAAATTATTTATTGAAGTATTTTCATCTAAGCACAACATGTACCTAAAAAATGCGGTTAGTTCCAAAATAAATTGCAACTCCAAATTTTACATCATGCATTATTTACATTTTAATTAGATTGACATTTTAATGAAATCTGTAAGCAATAAAAATTTTTATCATTGTGCAGGAGGTGTAATAAATAATTAACCTAGCTAACTTGTCATTTCAAGAAATGCCAAATGATCCATTCCTGTTTAAATTTTTTAATATTTTCTTACCTACTCTTGAAGACTTGATAAGTAGTGTAAGCCAAAAAAAAAAGTCATCGATCCCTCCTAGACCCT